AAAAAAAACAAAACAAATACCAAAGAGTAATTAATATTTATAAAATAAATTAACATTGTTTACAAGAGTAACGACCAAAAAACTAAGCATAATATGTATCAACAAAAAACGGCTAAACTTCAATTAAAAAATGAGCATGTAATACATTGTAAATGAACACACGCAGGCCAATGTAAACGTTAAAATGAACAAACGCAGCATAATATCAACATAATTAGTTACATATGAACTATGGCATGCTCCTATACGCCTTAAATGCTGGCGAACTAAAAATGTTTCAATATCAAAACAAAAACAGTAGTTAAATACATATTTATATTTATTTTAACAAAAACACATTTCAATTCACCGCACAAGCTACTCAACTTTGTCACCCTCACGAAGCTTATGGAACGAGCGGATGTTAGTTATTTACTCATACACTTTTGAACAAATATCGAAAAGCTTGCAAAAATTATTAAATGAAAACTGTACAGTTAGATTAAATCGATCTATTTTCTCTTTTCAATATACTAACACGCATACAGCTCAGCAGTCTGAATTCATTCACGTTTTTTACTTTACAAAAATTAATTTATCAATATTTACATATAATTTAGTTGAATACATATGTATGTATGTATGGAGCTGTATTTCCAGCATTAATCTAAATCTTTTCAATATTTTACTCTAATTAACTGATACAAAATTTTTAATTCAACCTCGATAAGGAAACATATAAGCAAATTAAATTAAATTTTAAATTCAATACCGGAATGTATTTTAATATAATAGCAATGCATAACAGTGGGTACACACTGGCTATGTGCATACATGTGTTAAATCACCAGCCCCATAAACACAAAAATATGAATATTTTCACGCTGCATATTCATTGGTGGCGTATAGGCTTGGCCTCTCTCTCTCTACATGCCTACAACTCTTATTCAATTTCTAATTGAAAAAGTAAATTTACACAAATTTGACCAAAGTTTGAAACAACCATAATGGTAAACTAAAAATTGTCATGTCGCAAAGTATAAGGAAGAAAGTAAATTTAAAGAAATTTAAAACAAAATCATAACAGCAATTTAGTGAAAGTAATAAAACTAATAAAAGAACAAAAACTACAACAAATTAGCGCATTATTTTCATTTGTACGGGATGGGTGCGGTAAGTATCCAAACGATTCAAACATTATATTCGAGTAATATTTTGGGCATTGTGCAGCCTCTAGCAAATTGATAATAGAAACGCGTCTTCTTGCATTTGGAGAAATCGGGATTGGCACACGGAAATAAGAATTCCAGCATATTTATTCTCCTCCCTTAAATTTTAATTCAATTACATTTTCTCATTATTTCTTAGCCGTTTCGGAAATAACTAAACTTCCAACACGTTTTATTAATTTTTTTTTGTTCATCCATTTGGTGTTGTACTAGACTTCAGATTGAAATCAGTGCTAAAACTCCAAGCTATGCCCCAGCGTGTTGTATTACCCTGGCAAAATTCTGTAGTTGAGCAGTTCTTGATTTGTTTTTTATTCAATACTTCTAAAATACGTCCAACGCTGCTTTTGTGTCCCAACATTGATGTATAAACACTAGAGATTAATGCACACATAAAATATTTTATTAATTAAATCTAATAAATCAGCTAATAGAACTTACCAAACACGTTGTGAATGCAATTCACTCTCTTCAATTATTCGTTGCACAAATTGCACCTCTCCACCTTCGCAAGCCAACTCTTCAGCATTACCTGTGTGACAATTATGTGGTGGTGTGCGCTTGTCCTCATTTCTTGTGTTGCCATGAAAAGGATTGGGTAGCGTAGAATCATAAAATGGTGGGTTGCA